GAGAGAGAGAGAGAGAGAGAGAGAGAGAGAAATCGTTCCTGCACAATTGATAGAGAGAGACAGAGACAGAGTCCCTGTACAATAGAGCGAGCGAGCGAGCGAGCGAGAGAGAGAGAGAGAGAGAGAGAGAGAGAGAGAGAGAGAGAGAGAGAATACTTTCGTTTGACGTGTTATAGCGTGGGGATTGTGCGTGTTCTGATGATAGGGCACAGAGAGTGGGGGAGGTAACCAACCAACCATTTCGGACGTGGGGTGCAGAGCTTTCTCTTTGTCATGCTTTATTTTTTTTGTCGCTGCAGTCTTTCTCTTCGTCTCTTTCTCCTCCTCCGGCTTCTCCTACTCCTACTCTCTCTTCTTCTCCTTGTCGATGGGGATGAAGCCAATATGGATCCCTTGTGCAAAACCGTTCCATTGGCACCGACGAAGTCGAAATCGAACCGCTCTCTTGTGACTCTATGAACGACAAAGCCATTGTAATCCGTTGCCGCGAATTTTGTCGTTTCTCCCCTTTCATCATTTAGGGGATGGGTATTGTACCCCCCATTTCCATTTCCGATAAACACCATGTTATCCACTTCCAGGTGTTGCGCCACGTGGTCGTGTCCCGACATGTACACGTCGACATCGTGTTTCCTAAACACGTCGCCTAGCAGCTTCGCCACTCTTTCTTCAGCGGGGTAACGGCTTCGGTTAGCGCAGCTGCACACAGGTCGGTGGCCAACGACCATCAGCCAATCAACACGATCAGAGTGACTTTCCAGCTCATTAATTAGCCACGTCAGATGCCTTGTCCCAGCCGACCAATCAACGAGAGAAGGCGTGTACTCGTCAGAGAACCGTCGATCGCGCGGGAACTCTGCAGGATCTACAAACAGCCCTTCTAATGCGACGCTGTCGATAACGACAAGCTTGAGCAGCGCATGCTCTACTTCATCACCATCGCTCTCTCTCCCATCTCCTCCTCCTCCTCCTCCTCCTCCTCCTCCTCCTTCCTCTTCTTCTTCTTCTTCTTCTTCTTCTTCTTCTTCTTCTTCTTCTTCTTGTCTGTCTTCTTCATTTTCCTCTACGTCTCCTTGTGGTTGTTTAGGCGCCGGGTTATCGATGTACTCGTCGGCGTCGTTACGGTGGTTAGGGTTAACACCTTCATCGTGAGGAGGAGGAGGAGGAGGAGGAGAAGGGAGGAAGAAGCTCTTGGAATAGAATTGGCCGGGAAGACGCCATCGAGGGGAGGTGAGAGAGTAGAGGATCTGGGCGCTGACATTGCCGCGGTGATCGTGATCACCGAGGGCAACGTACCAAGGAACTTGCAGTGAATCTTCGGTGTACACATCTTCGAAGACTCTCCTCCACAATGGATCCTCCAGGCTGTCAACGCCATACGGATAAACGTTGTCGCCCGTGGTAATTACGAACTGCGCGCCGAGTTTCTTGGCGACCTTCCCCATGCGGCGTGCGACCGGTATCTGCCGCTTTGCCTTCCCCGAGCCGTAGTCCCCGATACTAAGGAAACACAGACCCTTCTCCATCGCTTTCTCCTTCTTCTCCTTCTTCTTCTCCTTCTTCTTCTTCTCCTCCTCCTCCTCCTCTTCGTTGTTATTCGCCATAGCCGTGATTGCCATGCTCGTCGTCGTCATCATCGGCCTTACTAAAGAGGAATGGAGGAAAGAGGAGACCTTCCCTATCTCTTCTCCTTCTCCTCCTCCTCCTCCTCCCCCTCCCTCTCCCTCCCCCCCCCCTCCTCCTCCTCC